TCTTCGGAATCATCGCTGAATAGATCTTACGGAACTAACAGATATTACAATGCTCTTTATTTCATTTCCACGCTTCCACGATATCATGAAATGGTGACGTGCTTGATTTGTAGTTCATATCCTATAAGAACATTACATCATGTATGTTCATTAACGTTTCCAGACCCATTCAAATCACTTATTTAATCCTCAGTCATTGAGGTTGCTTAATTCATTTAGCAGTCAAGTGTATCCCAGTTACTTCAGAGTTTTCCAAAGTAATTCAGACGTTTTTGAATTTCGGATATGTATTGTACTTCCGTTCAGTTCAATTTGGTCTTCTTGGTTGATTTATCTAACGAATATCCACTTCTTAGTACCGAATACGATCCAGAGTTGAGTTGAGCTAGTTACTTCCAAAATTATCATCGATCCTAACTTAATGAGACTAACCAACATTCAAGTGGTACTTATATCATTCATATAATGATACAACACTAGCATTGGTTGACAGCTTAAGCTGTGTTCCATAACTTTTAAGAGCAGTACAACATCCATGCTTATTTGGATTTCTTAATTAATCCAAGACATTTACTTAGTATAGGCCATAAGGGTATTTTGGTCATTTTGGTGTTCAGTTTTATTCCAATCATTACAGAGCTCGAGGATATCCCATTATTCCTGAGCTTGGTGATATTCTTGGGTCATTTCCATTATAGGGGTATTCTGATCATTTTACAGATCCAGTGTATTTCAATCTTTTCTTTCCGTCCGATCTTATTATTAAATTCAAACTTATCATTTATTTCAGTTCATTCGAATAATTATTACAAAAGAATACCCTCGATAAATTGTTCTTCAAGTATTTACTCATAACTCGGATTTTTTCGAGTCAATTGCCTTCTCAGAAATTTTCAAAAACGAAAGTGACAATCTTCATTTACCTTGACCAAGTTTAGGGCACTTGGCGAACCTCCAATAATGAAATAGTTTTCTTCATGATGAATGCTGGCAGTGGATTATTGAGTTAGCATTTTTCTCTTAGCAAATCGCAGCTAATCGTTTCGTTTCTGTTTGCTTTCTTTTTTCTTCTGTGAGCTCTATAGTTTGGTTGCTATTTCGATTGGGGTTTTGTTCTTCCATGAGCTCCATAGTTTTTATTTATTTGAAGTCCAGAAGCTATGCGGTAAAAGAGATGAAGCTCATGAAACACACAATTTCAAGGGCAGCAACGAGCTTGATCTTCGGTAAATAATAAAGTCTTCAATCATTCAACCAAAGGAAGTTTCCTGAAAATATATATATATATAAAAATTGAATCAAACTTAATTATTACACACTCTCCATCTCTTTCATAATTGAGGAGTGGTTGGCTTTGGGTCTATATACAATAATGGCATTAACAGGTGGCCATCATAATTGCTACGGGCCAAAACAGGTAGCCTTAATAATTACAATAATTAGGGTGTTACACACCTTCATGACATTTACTAGTGATGAATTCTCCCAAAGGTGAATAGGTAGTGCTGAATCGGCGATAGGCCACCCCATTAGTCTTCCAAAAGTGTATGTGAATCCAGACTTGAAGGAGCAGAGTACACCCAACGAACCTTCCTCCGCCAGTTCTTCTACAATGATTGAGAGATCGAAAGGTTTCGGCTAAGATGGCCGGTGCTGGGTTGACTCGCTTCGAGAGTTGTTCAAACGGCTCTACCACAACAGCATTAATTTAACCCAAAGTCTTCGAGAAATATAATCAGACCATACAGACCCAATGCAAACATGTCTATTGCCTTCCACACATCGGGATGGTTCTTCATCAGTTGCTTGATATGAAGCCAATTAATTCCTTCCCTACTGCTTTTACATCGAGCCCGGTCAGTTACCCATTTTTCGTCAACCTTGGCTAGTGCATTCTTGAAAGGCTGGCTTTTGATGTGTTTAAGGTAGGCCCTCTCTAGTTTGATACTTTCACAGTGCAACAGTGTAGTGTACTCTTCAATAGTGGACACCATGTCCTCCTGGTTAAAAGTGAAGCAACTGTATCTCGGGTTCCAGAATTGAACCAAGGCTCTGATTAAGGGCTCATCAGTCTTGACATGAAGCAAAAGTGCAATATCACCGTACCGTTGGTTGAACTTCTGTTTCTGATCATTCTTCCAACTGTCTCAGATGTATCGAAGTTCTTGCACATCGTTCTGCTTTAGGCTGATAGAGGCGTAGTTAACCGACTCTGACACATAGCTCCCTTGAAGACTGTCTCCCTTTTCCTTCTGAGTCTTCTCGGAGCATAGTCGTATCTCGGGGTTTTTAATCTCTTGTATTACAACACCTTTGTCCATTAGTTCAGATTATTTTGTGTGTAACAAACACTTTTTTAGGGATCAATGGCCTCTTGTTATGATGCAAATGCTAAAAAAACAAAGTCAAAAAGTTAGTATAATAAAAATAAATAAATATAAAATGACGAAAGGGAAAAAAATAAAAAAGAAACATGGTTAGGGTAAAAATATCCTAGGTTTTGGAATATGGTTTCGGGATAGGCTCTAATTCTCTATAGTCTCCCGGTTTATGTTCTAAAAATGGTACCCGATTTCTCCTTGCGGCGCCCCCTTGGGCTTACCAGACCCTTAGTCCTAAACCCATCACAGGCTTGTGTGGACTAAAGTTAAACTCGAGAGGACACATTCCCTTATGTCTATGCGGAGAATAAATTCACACGAAGACATAAGGTATATGAATCCCGAAGGTTACTTGCTAGGCCTATGCGGTGAATAAATTCACACGAATGCATCGCTTTCACCCCCACTTAAAAACGGGTTCGGAGCTCGGGTTTAGAGCCTTAAGTGAAAAACGAATTTTGATGGCTGAAATCATTAGAAAACGATTAGTACAACTATTTACTCGAAAATATAATCAAAAGTAAGCAAAAAGGATCGAAATGTTACCTTAAAATTTAAACTTACCATTTTCGTTAAAAAGACAACTGGAAATTACCTTAGTCTGACTCACTTACCTGTGTCCCCAGCAGAGTCACCAAGCTGTCGGAACCGCCTTTCGGGTGGGCCCAGAATTGGGCTTCTACTTAAATAAATAGGTTAGAGTCACCACCGATCTTTTATTTTAAAACAAATAGGTAGATCGGATACCTTATTCCTTACCTGGTCTACATCATACCAGTGATATGTCGGATTCGGGAGTCGGTTACAGCCAATGAATGGTTAGCACCTTTGAACTGTCTTTTCGATACTACGCAATTTCCAGTTGTCTTTAATTAAGCAAAATTGTAATTTTAAATAAAAAGGTAAAATTTAAATCGAATTACTTACCTCATATTATTTTGGAACATCCTTAAAATGCCAGGACAAGGGTTAGTTTAAAAAATAGTAAAAAAAAAAAGGAAAACAAGATACATAAAATGTGTAAGAAAAAAAAGAAATATAATAATAAATATAAAGAAATATATATAATAAAATATATATAAATAATAGTAATGATGAGGACTTGGAAAACGATATAGTAGAAATAAAAATAGTGTAATGTAATAGCAATAAATGAAAAAAATAGAAAAATAATTAAATATATATGTATACATATAAAAATGATAAAAGGAATATATGTTAGAATAGAATACTAAAAAATAATAGTAAATGGAATTAAAAAAAGGAAAATAATAATAAAGAAATAATTAAATGTGTATATATATATATATATATATATATATAAATACTAATGAAAAATTAGAAAAAAACAAAAATATAGTATTTAAATAGACAAAAATAAGAAATTAAAAAAACTAACCTGTGAGGGGATTAAATTAAAAGAAAGATAAATTGGGTGTCAAAATTACAAGCATTTAGAAGCAAAAATCAGGTTTTTGAGGCAAAAATGAGTAAATTGTAACTCAAAGGGACTAAAAACACAATTTACCCCATTTGCATTTAAAAACACGCGGATCTTCATGTGGGGAATGGATCGAGCCGCGGGTCGCACGGGTCTAGTATTTAAATCAATTTTTTTTTTAAATTATCATTTATTCTCTTCTCGCCCGAAATCCCCTCATCTCTTTCATTTTCTCTCAAGTGTTCTTGAGATATCAAGAACACGACCATGGATTCCAGAATCCGGCCATCGTGCCGTCTCGCCATATTAAAAAAATTATTTTTTTGAAAGCTCTTTGGATTCTCTTTTTAAAACTCAAAACCATTTTTCAAAAATCGCTCTAGAAAGGCATAGATCTGGTAAAAAAGAGTTTCGAATAATGAAGGCCTCGCTTCGTTCATAGGCCAAAAGAACTTGTTTGAGATTTTTTCGGAAACTCAAACACAGAGAACGGAAAAGAAAACGCATGCAAGCCTTGAAACTGAAACGAAAAAAGGTGAGATTTTTACCCTTATGCTTCTTCTATAATAATCGATTGCCGAATGCGCTGCTTGAAGATTTGTGTAGAATAATTGCAAAAGTTTATTTGTATTTCCTCCGAAATCGTGTGTTACAAACGAATGGATTACCTGCTTATTTATACTCTAAAAAATGCTATTTTTAGTTCCGAAAATCTTGAGTCCTAAGTAGATTGTGACTCTTATTTTGTTGGTTGTTGTGTTTCACATATGCACGTCATTGGTGATAGCCGAGAAATTCGGTGCTGTTGAGAGGCATGTGGCTGTGGGATCTCTCGTTGAAGGAGAGAATGACGTCGTGGAGCAAAGGTTGAAACCCTAAGGTGGGGTATGCTGTGGACCGTTGGATAACATCCCGATCCAACGATCGAGGCACTTGACGACTGGGGGCAGAAGATGAGAGAAGATATAGCTAGGGTTTCATACAAACCCTAATCCAATTTGGTTGCATTTGGGCCACTACTGGGTCATGTCGTTTTGTAACTTGTTCATTGGGCATGTATTATAAATAAATGAATGAATGAATATGTATTTTATATAATAATAAGAAATATATTATATAAAATAATATCCACGATCGAAAATTGAAGTCTTCATCACCCATAAAAACTGATCCCGAATAACGGTATAATTGACTCGAAGATGAAGCTGATGAAGTTCAAGTGATGGATAAGTAGGTGTTAGAAAGTCATTAAAGGAAAAAGGTAATATTTATATAAATCTTGTTGGTAGTTTATTTATGAAAGAAACCTTAATTGGAACAATCTTGTCACCAACATTCATGTCCTGGCCTTCATATGATCGAAAGGTAGCAAGCTGTGACAAACAAATAGTACGCAAAGTGAAGAATAGGATAAGGTCAAGCAAAACAACAAATCGGCTTTAAAGTGCAACTTTTTTTTTCTTTTGAAGATTGAAATTAGAGGAAGAAAACGGTTATAGTTACCTGAATGGACTGAACGATTTGCGGAAGGAAACCAGGGGAAAGCTTCAAGTCTTTTACAGTCCTTTTTGCAAACATCACCACCTCTGAATCAGGATCTTTTAGAAACAAACATGAGAATTAGTCGAGTAGTGAATTAAATTAAGGTGGCGTTTAAGAACTCAGATTTCAAGTAATAAATTTGAATTAAAAAAATACTATAATCATGTAATAGAACGCAAGAAAATGTAATAAATATTTATGAATTTGAAATTTACTTTCGAATATTTTAACTGATTCATACATAATGTATGCATTTTCCCACAGTTCACATAACAAACGAAATCTAAATCCAAATTTCCAAATTAATGTTTTTCAAGCACGGCATAAGAAGTTCCTCGAAATTTCTAGCGTTCATGAGAAACGATACTTGATAAGATCTGACGCATACCATAAGGGTTCCAGGTGAAAGCGTCTTTATACCGCTGCCCGTCGACTTCGATGTCCAGCCTAATGGGTATCAAATTCTCAGATGTCGGCCTTCAATTTTGGATCAAAATTAGCAAATCAAGCGTTTAATCCCGAGAAACAAAGACTCGAAGCCTAAAATCCTAGTCACAAAGAAGAAGTAAGAGCACGGTGCTTACATCCTGAACTTCAGAGGGGCTTTCCATGAGGCTGAAGCAAGCGATTTCATATTGATTCACGTAAGACAAACTTTCCCTCCTTACTTTTCGACCTCCATAAACAAAATATGATAAAGAATTCGAGTCTCTAAAGCATAAGCTAGTCCAGTGTTGCAAGCCAAATTCGTAATGAGAACAGAACAGAAAGAAACTAAGAAGGGTAGAAAATATCGATATAAATTCAAAAAGTGGGAGAAATGGAGAAATATTCAGTTGATATTTTAACAGAAATTACAAGCATATCACTAATTAATTACTTAAAACGCAGCATCTCATTATCTTTCTAAGATGTCAGAACCAGAAGAACCCTAATGTTCCGGCCCCAATTCAAACAATATTTGAACCATACGGTCATGGATCTCAATCCTGGCCCAAACCACAATCACGGTAAAGAGGTTTAATAAAAATTGAAACTAAATCCCCCATTGTTAGGGATTAAAGGTGTGCTTGTTTCATTAATTTCATTTCACAATTTTTTATATAATTTTCTAATGTTTGGCTGGAAAAAAAAAAGAGTTAGTCGAAAAGAATTGATTTTTTCTTGAACTAACGGAAAAATATGTTTATTTTTCATAAAAAAAATTACGAATTGAAATTCGACAAGTTGTTTACACCATGCTTCCCTCCTCACGTTTCCAATAAATTGATAGCTGAAATTAATACATGACCCAACACCATCAATGATCATCGGCCACGATAACAGTGTTTGTATCTTCTATTCATCCATCCTATAAATCATTTTCAGTTCCTTAATCTTTTCCTTAACCAAATCTTGTGAGAACCCCTCGTTTACTTTCAATACGTTTGAAGAAAAAGAACTTGCATAAGTATAATTAAGTTCATCCAAAATCAAGCCAATTCTCTCTGCATGCTTATAAGACCGATTATATGTGCTTTAAGACATCTGTACCCAAGTTCATCCAAAGAGAAGTTTGAATGGAACTCCCAAATATAAAACTCTTTCGACTATTACCAAAGGAAATCCGAAATCCAACAGTTCCTAACCGCAAACTACGTAAACAAAACATCAAAATATAACTGGTAAACTACAAAATAATACCAACATCTCGATACGAGTTCAATCCAAACTGAAAATGAGATTTCTCAGAAAATGGGTCTCTCAACAGAAGAAGCCAAGTACTTTTCCACCAACATTCTTTCTTCTGGCTTCTTCGTGGTCCATGATTCCAGCAGATGTGGTGAGCACAATATATCCAAACTGCAACAGCGGACGCATAAAAATCTCATACATAATCAAGCTTTTTCTAAAATTTTAATCAGTAACCAAAAATCTCAAGCCAAACTCAAAACTCGAGCTTGACCAAAAATGATCAAACTCAAAATCTCATACATAATCAAGCTCTTGCTTTAAAAGTGAGTGTCAAATTTCCAATCAAGCTTGATCTTCTTAAATTCAAGTGAACTTGATTACAAATTACGACCACAGATGACACGTACTAATAAAACCAAATAATAATATTCATAAATCAAAGTACATTTCTTTCTTCCAACTAAAATTTCTCAAACTCAAAACATTTCCATCAAAAGCTAAACAAAAAAGTTTAAGGCCATATGAAGTTTATTAACTGACCTGTCTGGAAGGAAGTAACCGAGCAGTCCAACCCTCAATCTCCTTCACTCCGATATCAAAACGAGGACTGATAACCCCACACTTGTTCAGCCTTCAATTTAGTTCAAGCACGATTTTACCAGCTCTATGATCATCTACATGCTCAAACTCTCCAATGTAACCTGCAATACAAATCAAAACCCATGTATCTACATTCTGCAGCTTTCATAGCATATAAGTCGGATTAAAACCTATGTTGCTCCTCATACAACTCCCCAACATGAATATGAACATGTACGGCTCTAAATATGTGAAAAAACTTGCAAAAGTTTAACTTATCCATGTATGACATTTCCTTGAATCTGACACACCTAAATCCGAGTAACTGTAGAGTTAAACTAGAATGAATGCTAAACGGCAAAGATTGTAGGAGAAACAAACCATGCTTCTGCATGACCAAAAGGAACTTGATGATAACTTTAGAGGACGGCCTGATCATCACTTGCCGTTTTCCCCTCTTCTCTGCATTGTACATGCTCTTGAGTGCATCGTTCAGAACGCTCACCCTCACCATTTTTTAAAATACAAGCTGCTCCTGCTTCTGATTTCTTTACACGAAATAAGTAACAATTATTGCATCAATTTCTAAACCATATTCAAATCAAAACATGTCTTCTCCCAACAGATTACATGACCATAAGCAATTCAAAATTCAAAACATATAAACCGTTTCAACCAAACCCTGATTTTCTTTTTCTTGGCTAACATAGAGGAAAATGGTTAAGGGGACTCATTTAGGAACATCGGAAACAATGGGTAACGGACCCTTCACTTTCCTATAAGCCCACAACAAATCATTAGAGTTTTAGGGTTTTTTTTTTTTTTGGAATGGAATACAAGATCAATAACAAACATTCAATTAGAAGCATAGGAAAAGTTTCAAGATCTACAAGCTGAAAAGAAGAAGAATAAGAAGAAGAGTTTTAGCTTACCTGTAAACAAAAAAGAAATGGCAGCTGCATCAAGGTTGCTTGAAGAGAGTGAAGAGAGGAAGGGACTCTTGGGGTTTCTGGTCTTTAAAGGGGCGGTTGCAATGATAGTAATGAATTCGTAGGGCTTAGGGTTTTCTGCAGTCCCGCTGGAATGATGCGGGAAATTTAGAAGAGCATCGACCAGTCAAGTAAAATCGTTAAATCTTTATTTTTTAAAAATAATATATGAATTAAATTATTTGGACGCTCAAGAAGATGATTGTTATAGGTAAAAGTCTTACGTTTGAATTTATCATCTACAAAAACGATGGAACCTTCATGTCAAAAAGTTAAAAATCTTTCGAACAAGTATGCTGTATAATATATTATGGTAAATTACAAATTTTATCATTATTCATTTGTTTTCCTCAATTTTGACCTGTAGTTTTTACATTTATTTCATTTTAACCCATATTATATTATACATGTTTATGTACGTAATATGTATGTGTGCATACATTATAGTTTTGGTTAAATTAATATATAATTATATGTAGTTATTATATATATTTAAATATTATACATATATTCAACACATAAAGGGGTTTATGTGGTCAATGAGTGTTATTCTGCAGGGTAAGTGTATAATTTCCATAGTTAAGAAAGATTATAAACAAAAATTGTTTTATAATCACCTTAGACTAATTGAATATATATATGTGTATGTATAATTATATAGTTATAAAATCGATTAATAAAATACAAATAATAAAATCAATTCAACGTCTTCTCGTGATAGGATTTACAAGGTCGTTTCTTAAATTGTAGGCGTGTGATCCGGAGGATCGATCGAACAAATAGATATCCTTTTATTTAAATTATTTTTAATTTTATTATTTTAATTTTCTAATATATAGTATGATCTCATTACATTGATCTAATTGTTCCATCAAGTCAAGTCCTGATTTTTGGGGGAGTTCTACGATACATCAGCTTAATATACAGTTAAGGAAAAGCGCGACAAAAAAATGTTATAAACAATATAACATTTTAAGTTGCGCGCAACTTAAAATATTACGAAGAATGTTTGCATCCGAAAAATATTAAGAAAAAATAACATTTTAAATTGTGCACAACCGAAAATATTATTTTTGTTTATAACATATTGGATCGTGCATTTCCTTAGTCTTGTATTAAGCTATTGTACCATAGAACTACCTGATTTTTGTTTCTAAAATAACACAATGTTGTTTCTTTTGTGTGTAAGATTAATTTTTGAATGAGAATAAATAAAAGGGGAAAAAGTGAAATCTCATTTAGTAAAAAGTATGAAAGTCACTACTTATATAGAAAATCTTGTTTGAAGAAAAAATTTGATGCTTCGAATTCTGAGTTAATAGTTTCGGATTAGCCTGCGATGATTAGGTAAGCTCATTAGCCTTGTAGGAAAGCTTGGTCCAATTAAATGTTGGTTTGGACTATATTTTAGGCCCAATGGATATTAAAAATGACATTTTTAATCCTATAACAAAAGAGGAATGACTAATGGAACAATGCCTCATCTTTAAAAACAAAAGCTGAAATCCTTTTAATGTTGGTGATGTAATAAGTTGAAATCTCTCTTCTTTATCTCCATCAATTTTGTCTCATTATTTCTCCTTCATCTTTTCCCCTTTCTGTTTAAAGACTAAGCAAAGATTAAAACTTTATAATTTTATAAGCTTTTAAAACTTTATAATTTTATAAGCTCTGTCCGGATTTACAAAGGTAAAAGTTGTCATCTCCATTTTTAGAGCTAGTCGAGTTCATTCATCCTTCATATTTTGAGGCTGACAAGTCAACGGTGTTTGTTGCTTAATAAATTTTTTTAAATTTTTTAATTTTTTATAAGTTTTTAACCGATGTTGGAAATTTTGTTATCACTATATTTTAATTTACAAAATAATTTATATATTTGATTATTTAAATAATATTATTTATATCAACACCAGAACTCTGAGAAATTACAACATCAAGAGTGAAGAGAGCTTTAGTTGCATAAGAAAATTTTTACCACTAATAATCAGTGACAGATTTAAAAATATTTTTAAGGCAGGTGCACAAATGCTAATAACATAAAAATTTTAAATAAGTTAGATGTAAACAAAATTTCAAGATGGACATTATCAATAGAATAGATAATTAACTAAAAAAATCATATTTCATGATAGACAAATGTTTGTCACGATAACAAACTACAGCCAACTCTAAAGACAACAGAGGTCAAGGTCAAGAGATTAACCTTGATTCTCTCAGCTTGATCTTTGTTCGCTTAAAATGACAATATTCCCCTACAGTCACATGTTATAGAGTATTTAAGTTTGGACCAAAGGAATACTTATCAAAAGTTCAAATTTTTTATAATGTATTATTCCCTTATTTTCCCTCTCATTTTGTAAAATGTCGTCTCCAAGAGAATAAGATTATGAGTCTTTTTATTCCCTTATTTTCCCTCTCATTTTGTTGCCACGTTTATGTGATAATCTCGTAATATTCAAACCTTCATCATCAATATTGTTATTATTTCCTGCATGATTTCTAAGGATTTATCGCTAACTAATCTATTCTTTTTTATTATTTCCGATTACTTAAT